TTAGCTAAGTACCCCAAGATATAAATTCTCACTTACCTAAGTCTAGAAGCATCATGGACTGTATAATATAAAGGCTAAAGGCAGTTCAAATCAGGTATGACCAAAAGGCAAATAAATAATACAGTTATCCTCTCTACTAAAAAACATAAATACTTGTTATTCTACAATAATCTTTCAATTAAACTATTAATAAATGAAGCATTTCAGCATACTTCATGGCTGAAGTCTGTGTATTTTAAAAACATGATCTCCCATATTCTTGTAAAACTGAAAACATATTTTTATTCTTCATGAACATTAGTAGTTTTATTGAAAGAAAAGCTTATATAATCCAGTATTATCTTTTGACTTTGCCCATGGAGAAACCTGGTGTTAAATTCACCAATCAATTTTAGAATCTGTTAGTGTTGCTATAGTTTGTTCTCCTAGAAATTTTTTATTTTTAAAAACTAATGGTAATTGTCCTGGTTCACATGTGTTTTACAACTGTAAGCCACTTCAAATGCCTTTTGGAAGGTCTAATGTAAATCATAATTAAAAATGACTAACCCTGACTAAAGCATTAACAGATGTTTGATTAATGTGCTAACCACCCTTCTCCAATATACATCCATCCTAGAGGACAATAATCTCATGGTCATGATTTTCAATATAAAATATTCATTCGGACTTCAGATTGCTGGAATCTAATATCCTGCCTTTGAAGATGAATAAAACACACATACATACACACATCCCTTTTGTCAAAGTAATGTGCAACTCATTAAGTACTTTCCCCAAATGCATCTGAACAGATGCACAAGATTTTGAAGACTACCTTGTTTTTCATTTAAAACTTTCAAGAAAAAATACTTACAATGACTTAAAGACTCCTGTATAAATAGCTACCTAAATACAGAGCAAATTGGGAGGGTATGGGTCAAACACAGCTGAGCTCCACTCAACCCAAATCTCATGAGTCTCCTGACTACAAAGCTTGTTTTCTTAACATATGAGTTTCTGCAGGTCTTGAGACAATTTACTGAGCACCGTAGTAATCTTTAAGACACTAATCAAAAACTTGGTCTTATATTTTAAATACCCTAGAAGTGGTTTTAGGACAACAGAAGCACCTCAACCACTAACATAAGCAAGTTTCTATTGTAAGTAAAATTACCACAAAGCAAATCCTCTAATAGTTCAGCAACCAATAAATAGAAAATACTCTTAATAATCTGCTATTTCTGATTATTCCTTTGGCTCCTTCAACTGTAGTTAAAACATACAGGAAATAACTTGGTTGTCACAAAGTTTTTGATTACATGACATGCTTCTTATGGAAGAGGACTGGCCTGAGCCCAGCACAGATCACTTGGACCGGATGCGCAGTAAGTGTTTCTATTACCCTGGCCGTGGGCTCCTCCTAAGTAGTATCTAATAATTGGGCAAGTTTCAATAAGATTTTTACAGCCTAGCATAATAACGATGACCAATATATTCAGTTCTCCTGGAATCAATACAAGAAAGATGATTAGAGTTAAAGAATGTTCTACAAAGATATAGGTCTAAAGCTGCCACATTTGCCCAGTAAACTAAAAGAGCCCTTGCTAACCTATATCGAACATATTAGCAAATACTGCTATACTGAAGTGCATATCATCAGATGAATGTTATATGTAACCACCTTTAATATTTATATATGTGCTACTAAACCCCCAAAAGATTAGACTTACGAGAGCATAATTAAAAAGCACATTCCTCTTCGCTTTTTAAAGTTAGATATAGGCTTTTCTATTGAAGTAATTTATATTTTTCCTTGTTTCTAAAATAGGCATCAGATTTCTAAACAAATGAAAAAAGCCTCAGCCAAAGAGCCACATATTAGGTATTCAGCCTGGGCCTAAGAAAATTAAGTTAATACATTGAATAAATTAACTTGAATAAATTAAAAGTGCACATTCAGAACAGAATTACAGCTTTTGGTCAGCAACATGTTAACCAAAGGCAAAAAGCTGCCAAGATTAAGGCAGGTCTTTTTTTTTTTTTTTTTTTTGTATACAGTACAGTGTGTTTTCTTCCCCCCACCCACCCACCAAGCTCATTTAGCATTCACTTTGATGTTATTTAAAATGCACTGCCAAGCTAGAATACAAGCTTCCTAATAAAAAGAAAAAATAGATGTCATAGAGAGTTCCTTTTGTTTTAGAGTCTTCCTTAGACCTATCACGGTATTTTCTTTTTGCCTCCACACACTTGGTGTAAGAGATTCCTGCAACAATAACATGACTTTCGCCACAAAGCATGAGGACTGTCAGGGTGACAGCCGTTGTAAGGAATTACTTTCTTCTTCTGCCGGAGTCAATTTCAGTGTTGGCAGTTTCCGATGAGGAAGTTGAGGGCTTTGGCGAAGATTGTCATCCATCTGTAGAGAGTACAAAAGATACATCTGACTAATGCTGTGGCACCACTTACGTGGACTATGGCCTCCCCATCCAAACTATAGCCTAGAAGAGTACAGAACCATATGTTTCTGGGACTGCCAAAGAAACCTTTTTCTTGCAAATAATCTCTCAAGAATTTTAAATGTCATACCTCAAATACCAGCTGACTCAGTATCTGTAAAAAGCAATGTGGCTCATCTTGATACCTTCACAAAATTATAGTAATTATACAAACTGAATATTCTACTGAACTCAACCATAGCATGACTTAGTTTAAGAAGTCTTTTAATAGTAAAAGCAATACTTCTATTGCACTAAGATCTACAGTTTACAAATTATGTTCCTGTACTATACTTCATTTGATCTTCCCAAAACACTATAAGAAGGCAGATACAGCCCTTCCTCATTTTACAGATTAGCAAAACAAGGCTCAGAAAAGTTAAATGATTTACCCCAAGTCACAAAGCTAGTATGAGAACTGAAACTTGAACCCAGGCCTTCTTATTCCAACACTATTATTCTTTCAACTGGACTTCTTTGCCTCAATGAAAATGAACTATACTCCACTCAAAAAGACCCCCTCTTTTAAGCTGAGACTATGTAGACCAAATGAAGCTAGGAAAAGAGACAGAAAGAAGGATAAATTCTTTAGACCTAATCCAGAAGTCTTCTAAATACTGGATCAGTTCTAAGCCTAACTTAGAGAAACAAATTAATATGGAGTATATTAAGAAAGTGCCCAAGAATTCCAGACTTACCCTAAAAAGAATCACATTAGCATCTCTGGAAAAACTAGGATAGGGATTATTTAGAGCTGAATAAAACCTCAGAAAACCATCTTTAACCAGAGTATTCTAGAAACAAAGTGTAAGATTCAAGTCATAGTGTTGAGTTCACTATCAGCTTAGCTTCATAAAAACTTCAAAAGCAACTGCCATCAAAAACACAAAATCATCTCACTGCCTTTTCCTGGGGAAAAAAAAAACAAAAAAACACAAAATCAACAGAAAACAGTATCCTAACTATCCATCCACTTGATAGGCAGGCTTTTTTAGAGTTTTATACATGTGTGAAGCATTGTAAACTCTCCTTTATCTTCTCAAGGTGCTCTTAAAGTTTAGATTACATGTTTCAGCAGAGGTACACAGGATTTGTAAGGTAGAAAATGAAAGAGAATAAGACTAAATTTTAATTTTCCAATGGAAACAAGTATTCCCAGTAAACTATTTAAATCAATTGTGTTAAGATGTCTTTTTTATTCTTTTTGGCAAGACTTAAGTTCCTCAAACATAACTCTTTTCTTTTTTTAAACTCTAGATTTTCTGTCCAAATTGTGAACAACATGGCCAACAGGATTTGTGGCTCTATCAGCTTGTAGCAAACAGTGAACCACACACTCCCCACTGAAAAGCAGGTACAAATGAGCAGGGCTGGAGGGAGAGGAGTGCCTGACTGGATGGGCCAGGAAACTTTCAGATTGATGATGACACAAGATGGAAGTGTACAAAGTGGTGATAGGGCCTCTTGCTTTGGCCTTCTGCACATGTAAGTACTTCATAGTTTCCTTTCCATACCTGTCATGAATTTGCCAAATATAGAAAATGGAAACCATATTGGATAGCCTTCATCCAGCAGATAAGTGATCTTTTCTTTATCCATACTTAACATTTAATATATTTCCTCTCATGAAATTTCATGGATTGAGCTAAAAATTGAAACAGACTAGGCTTTAACTCAACTTACTAGAATCACCCTTGAAATTTCCATTGTTGGCTCTCCACCTTACCAGGTCCCTCAATATCTTTCTCATGAAAAAAGCAGCCCCAGGCCAGGAGCAGTGGCTTATGCCTATAATCCCAGCACTCTGAGAGGCCGAGGCAGGAGGACTGCTTGAGCTCAGGAGTTTGAGACCAGCCTGAGCAACAGTGAGACCCTGACTCTACTAAAATCAATCAATCAAACAAACAAAGAACAGCCCCCAAATGACAAAATATCTACACTAGTGAAAAACTATAGATTACATTTAGAACAGAAAAGAACAGGAAGGACAAAAAATAAAACAGTTCATATAGAAGAAAGAAAATGACATCATGGTGCTGTTAATAAGAAAGCATAAGCCAGGTGCTTACAATCTCAAATGTTAACCTTCAGAGACAGAAAAAGGCAGACAAGTAAGCAAGAAGTATTTTTGTTTTGTTTTTAAGAAGTTAATCTTTTGGGTTTCCTAGCTTAAAAAGTATTAATTGCGTGGTAAAAGTAAACCCAACCCCATTAACCAATCTTTCCCCAAAGCAATCAGGTCACAACTGGCTTCAAAACACTATGTTATATACAACTTTAGTTAAAATATATTTAAACAGTTTTCTGAAAAGTAAACTCTTAACTAAAAGGATAAAGTTAATGCATGACCCAAATTATAATATGAGCTGCAGAAAGGAAAATACTAAACTACTATAAAATAATGATTAAAGTAAACTTGACCTTTTCAATCAAGTTGGATTCCTTATTTACAAGTTGTGTGAGTTTCTGCAGATTTGCATCTATCGTTTCTTGTCCAGCTGGAGAGATGCCTAAGAAGCCAGGACAGAAATCAGAGAGAGATAGAAAATTTTGAAAGCTTTTAAAGCTGTTTATATTGAAAGAATTTTGAGTCTACCCACCCTCACAAGTGCCCCACCCTCCCAATAAAAGGCAGAGAAAAAAAACCATTCTCTTCAGGTTCAAAGGCAAAGTTAGGACAAATAGTAATGCTCCAAAGCCAAATTCTAAACAAAAGGACTAAAATTTGTCCACTAAGAAGACAGCGTCAGTCAAGTGTTATGCAGGTAGCCACAGTAATTAGTAAAAGAGCACAGCAGTCCTTATTTCCTTCTCAAATTTAAGCTATGTCTTTCCCCCCACCCATTTCAAATAGGTCATTGGACACAACTACTTGGATAACTTTCTAAGGCATTGACTCCGTAACAGCTACCCACCAGATATCTAAAGTACTTAGAGGGACTTGAAAAATACAGACTCCTGGGATCTAATTTAGTAACTCTGAAATAGGACCCAAGATTTTTTATTTGCCATGTAGTCAAATTTGTTAAATATTGCCCAAAGTAACAAGGTTGAACATTACTTAATTTCATGACTACCAAACTATTAACCCCTCCCTACAGAGAAACACAGAACGTACCATAAAAAAAAAAAAATACACTGTCCACCTAAGCCAGCTATCTTTATAACTTCTGTTTCTTAAAAAGACAATTTCAGTCATCTACCTCAATAACAATTTAGTAACCCTTCAGCACAAGGCCCCATACTCAAAGAATCATAACCTAAGTGACAGGTGCCCTCTAGTTACTATACCTCCAGTCTGATGCAATCAGTTTTCAAGAAGTGGAATCATGGGAGTGTACCTCACCAAAATCAATCTGCTGCTGATTTCTGTTCACGCAGGAAAATGCTAGAAGCAGCAGGTAAGAATCATTTAAAGTAATTGCCCATTTGCATTAGGATAAATACTATTTTCAGTGGGGACTTAATACCTGTAGTTTTAATCTTTTAGAAGAAAATGACCCACTTCAAAGGGGCAATATTTAAAGAAGAAGAAGAAATGTGAAAATCCAAAGGAATAGATAAAAGGCAAATATCTATTTCTCTATTTATATAAGAACTAACACATGGAAATAAAAATGAAGTTGGAAAATGCAAGTTCTTGAAGTGCTATAAACAGTACTTAAAAAGAATACAGAAACTTTTTAAAAATTAAAACAGGTAATGAATTTTGCTTTTCTGTCTATAGGAGAATATGCAAACAAACAAGCTGAAGAAGAGCCAGCTTACCTCCAAGACTAAGCCTAAAATAACTGTTTAAGATGTCATCACAAAAGCGACACAGGTTGGAGAGCTGTTTTAGGTGTTCTTGTAGCTGAACTTTAGGAAACCGTACTTTATAAAGAGGTGCAAGAAAACCAAAAACATAGGCATCCAAGGTACAAGGCCTAGAAATAAAATAAGGATTTTTTTTAAAGCAGTTAAGAAAATATTAACTTGGAATTGTGTTTACAGTGTTTTTCAAAATATATTTGTCAATTCTGAAGTATACAATAAAATCTTTTAAAAGGTATACTACCCATTTTAGTTTATGAAAATGATGCAACTAGGGTTTTACTCATTAGTTTATTTAATACTCTAACCACTTATTTTATTTAGAAGAAAATGAAGTTGCCAATTATAGATTCATCTTTACCCACAAGTAGTAAATAGACTGGAGGCAGAGTGGGAACAGTCTTAGATGTTTTAAATCCACATATGCAACACATTAAGTCAATGTTAGATTACCACCGATAGAAAAAGTTTCCTATAATAAAAACCTATTTTAAAAAAAATATTTTTTTAAGTGAAAACCTCATCTTTTGGAGGGACAAGAGGACTTGCTTTAAATAACTGCTCACTGAATATATATACATAAAATATCAAAATGATTTTTAAGGGAATGTACTCACGTATCTCCAAAGAAAAACTGAGATGTTCCCAATCTGTTTGACAGAAGATTTAGGCACTCCTTGGCATCTCTGTATATCTAATAAAGATGAAATTACATCTCAAAAGTAGGAAAGATGCTCTAAAACTACTTTCGAAGCAGGCATCTCTACATAAATTCATTTCCACTATCTCTTGTCCCTTCTCTGGAGAACCCTTGCTTGGGGAGTAACCCAGACCATACCTGTGCTTCTACTTCTCGAAGGTGGTACAGGGGAGGCTCTCCTCTGGTCAGGAGAATCCTATTCAGTGCCCCCTTAGACATTCTTCCAGGCAGGATCAAACTCAAGGGAAAAGGCATTCGTGAAGCAAACCATGGCTTTGTCACAGTAAAGTAATTGTCACTCTCAACCCAGAATGTGTGAAGCTGCAAATGGAGAGAAAAAAACACTACAAGGATGTTCTTTTATTAACAGAAAGATCACTCAACCAATGTGAACGTTTTTCATAAATATCTCTGTATAAAGTGACTTCATACAAATTTTCCAGTTAGAATGATTCAGGATAAAACAAGATTATTTTAAATGTGTGAGGGAGGTCTGTTCACTGCTATGTCCCAAGCACCTAGAACAAGGCCTGGCACATAGCAGGTGCTCAATAAATATTTGTTGCATGAATGAATTACAATTCACCCACTACTATACATGAAACAAAAAGATCCCCATCTCCCACAAAGAATTATTATTTCCAAAATCACATTATCTTTCACTTTGTTATTTCACATTCTGGTTGAATGTCTAACAAAATCCAGTTTCACAGAAATATGAAAGAATCAAGATTAACACACAAGTGAAATTTCTTCTTAAGACATTTTCATTGTTTTTCTTCTACATAGACTAAGTACATTTTCAAGTAAACCACTAAAATACTGTAATGTTCAGGAACACTCACCACTGCAGGAAGAAGCTTCTCTTCAAGGAGAGCAATGTAAGCCAAGGTATCTGCCCCTTGTTTTGCTGAGAGTTCATAGTCAGCATTATATTTCTATTAAAAAACATAAAACCAAAGAAATTCAGAAGTCAAAGAGCATTCCAAAGACACTGAAGCTAATCAAATTAAGATCCTATTTTTCCTCGCAAATGGCAAACATTAAATAAGGGAAAGAGAAATACAAACCCAGTGAAAACTGCTGCTTAATGCACATAAGGTTCTTAGCACAGCATCATGCACACAATAAGATCAATAAATGTTAGTTTTGATTTTTTTATTAACTTAATTTTTTATTATTAATAATAATTTTATTATTTCAATGCTTGTTAATGACCTAGTTCAGTGCATGGCATGTAGTACAGACTTCATAAATAAAAGCGATTATTTTTGACAAGAAGTAAAAGTTCCAATTGGTTTCATGTTTACTCATGAAAAAAGAAAGAAAACGTTCCAATTTAGAAAAGGTCCAAATTTTATTGACAATTTTTTTAAGTACAGTATTAGCAAAACCAATGATAGCTTTTACATATAAATCTGCATATTTAAACATTTTAGGTACATTACATATATCTTTATGATAACATTTTAGATACATTTCATAAAACTGCTACTATTGAATAAGTGCTTTTAAAAATAAAACAAGCAGTTGCTAGTTGGTGGGAACTCACATGTCATGCTGAGCACAAAATATGTGGCAACTATGTGACTAAATTGACAATCCTATCAATATGTGTTAATAGTGAAAATGGCTAAATTGAATCCACTTATATTAATATTTAATATATAAATTTCAATAAAATCCAAGTAAAGTGCATGACAACGTAAATTGACTATACCTCACCACATAACTTTTCAAATCACTGTAAAACCCATGCTTTATAGCAGTGATTCTCAAGTCTATTTTTAAATCAAATTCCAGATATTTCCAACTGTCTGAGTTGGCAACAATGAATTAACATGCAGGGAATCAACAAACTACTTCTTCAAAAGGAACCACCCACCTGTTTTCTTAAAAAATTTAGTATTTTTGCTGGCTGAGAAACAATGTTGTCTTCAGTTGCCAAAACTGGTACATCGCCTATAATCAAAAAGCAGTTTACATACAAGGATACATTGTGATTTCCTCTGAAGAGATTCCAGTATCCTAAAAACCATACCAATTGCACATTTGGAAGGGGAAAAAATGAGTAAGCTTGCCTTAGTTTTTTTGCAGTTTCACAAACAGCAGTTCTAAAGAACATTTTCATTTCTCATAATTTCCACTGATTTGGCTTGCACTTTGAGGTATTACTCAGAATGATCATAAGCGACACACAGCCACGGTCACGGTAAGAAGAAACTAAAACCCCAGGGTACTCTATCGCTATATATCTTGTAGCTTTATATGGAAAAAGAAGAAGAAGAAAAAAAAAAACTTAAAGAGGGCAGAAAGACGTGTCTAAAAGTTTACACTGTACCTCTTGAACCTCTCCAGGTGTTATCTATGACATTGACTTTCAAAGGTGCACCAGAAAATTTGGCATAAGCCTGAAAGAGAGTTTGCAATAAAATATTTTAGAGTGCATAATGCAAATTTGCAGAACAGCTTTACTTCACAATCCCATCCCCCAAAGGCAGAAGGCGCCAGATACATGGGCCGCGAACCTCCCGCAAGATCTCTAGTCCGGGACGCACGTTCCAGCTGGACCCGGCTTTCAGGGACCTTGTTCCCCAGAAGGTTCTGGGGATACGGGGCGAGGTGGGCGCGCCCCCTGCTTTGGGCTTTCATTCCGCCTATAACAGTTTTTCCAGGCTGAGATAACTGGGAGCCAAGCGGAGAAGCTTGACGCTCCCGCCGGGCTACGGCTGGCTCACGGGCCAGGTTGTCACTCGTCGACGGGTGGGAGGGAGCCCAGGGCGGTGCAGTGTGCAGCCCCCCCCCGGCTCGCCTCGACCCCGCAGCACCGCTGGGAACCCGAACCAGCCAGCCTCGTGCCTCAGGCCCCGTCCCTTCTTCCCGAGCCCCGGCCCGCGAGGCGGCCTCACCATCACCACCAGGGACTCGCTGTGTACCGAGGGGAGCCCCCAGCCGCCTCCCCAGCAACTGAGCTCCAAGGGGGCCGCCATCTTGCGGGCCCTGACCTTTACTACCCCGGAAGTGCTTTTGTCACCCTATTTCCGGTACGTAGAAACGCGGGGGCGGGGCGAGAGGCTGAAGAAATAAGGAGAAGACTTCTGGAGGAGTTGTGAGTTTTAATTTAGACCCGCCGTTCTTCAGATATTTATTGGATGCCTACAGTGTTCCAAACCTTTTGAACATGGCTATGCCAGGCCTAAATTAATCTGTTTGTGAAATAAGGATGACGGTTCATTTACAAGATGGTGGTGAATGCTTAAAATATGACATGAGGGAAAGAACTTGGCACACAGTAGGCCCTCAATAATTGTTCAACACTTCCTCCCATATATTTGGCCCCTGCCTGCCTTTTCAAGTCTCAGTCTCAGTTGTCACCCTCATGTTCAGTTGCTCCACTGTCCTTACAATTTACCCTGTTCCTGAAATTTGTGGTGTAAATTCTGCCTGCCTTCAGAGCTGCTTCTTCAATCTGGAATATCTTTCTTCCCTGTCCAACTGCTTCCTCAAAAACGTCACCTTTTCTGGGACGATTTCACAAAATTAGGAGTTTCTTCTGGGTTCCTTCAGCCCCTTGGACATAATTAAATTGTAGCTTCTTTCCCTAGCTACAGACCTTTTGCCTTTTAGTGTACAGAGCCCTTTGAAGACAGAAGAGGGCCAGCTTCATGGGTGTGGGACCTGTGCTGCCACACAAGGCCCTGTGTTTAGAAGGGCTCTTCATTTGGCTAATGCTCTACTGTTACTGCCTTGAAACAAGGGGACCTGCATTTTTATTTTAGACTGGGCCCTGCAAATCATGTAGCCAGTCATGTCTGTGGGCCTAATGGGCATGGACTAATGGTTTTGTGAACATTAAACCTGACAATTTCTCAGAAAAACTGTTAAAGAGAAAAGATAGGTCTTAGAAATGCCATGATCCAGGTACATGTACTAGGTCCCAGAGTTAGAACTTGGGTGCTGGGTCTTTCTTCTAGGTGGCACAGTAGTCTTTCTGTGATATCCTCCCAATTATGCCTCTGAGTTTTTTTCTTTCCTCTGTCCCGCTGAGATAGTTGGGTTCCTTTAAACAACTGAAAACTCAAACCTCTGGAAATTTTCATAAAATTACTATTCAATAAATATTTGCTAGATACTCCTTTACTGTTTACATGGCCATCTAAAATAAAGTGCCAATCTGCTAAAGTCCTTTTTTTTCATGTTTCTAAAACAGGAGTTCTCAGAAATGAGAAGAAAAAGATATATCAATGATGAGAATCCATTAATAATACTTTATAACTGGGAAATGTTTAACATATGTACTATTAAGAGTAACTATCAAAATATTTATTGAGCAGCTCCTATGTCCAAGATGCTATAAGGCTCTAGGAGAATATGGAAATGTACAAAACATAAATTCTATTCTCAGGAGTTTACAGTCTACAAAAAAGACATATGCAAAGCTAAGTGTAACAAGTCAGATTGTCATGAGTAAAGTTAGAGAGATAAATAAAATACTGCAGAAACAGGAAGGAGGAACAACGCATCCTCTGTGGGATCAGTGGAGGGTGTCTGTTTAGTCTTCAGTATAAAGAAGTAATTCAACTTTTAAATTCATGTAATGGGACTTCCCTGTTTTGAGGATTAAAATCTCAAGCCATAAAAGTAATAATCCATATACTACAATCAGGTATTTAAAATAATCATACACAAAGATTATGGATTTCCCAAGTCTTTTTTATAGTGGGCGTGGATGAACGTTCTTAGTGGACACATAATGTAATTTCTCAATTTGGTCTTCTCTTTTACTGCACTGTTATATACAATGATTTAATTTGCATTAAAGAGACGTTAAATCTCTTAGTGTGGAATTAGGACAGAGAATAGCATGCCGTTGTATCTGATAAAAGAATCCTTACACACAGGTTTATTTGTGCCTAATTAATAGCAATCTTTTATGGCCTCAAATTCCTCTTGAGAGTCTGTGTGTACTAGATTGAATTTAAAAACCTTAGCGTAGCTGATTGCACAACCAGGCTGAATACTGTTCCAGAGAACCACACAGAAAGCTGAAACCTTCAGAAATTATGCCTGGTATGGGTAGTTGGCCTCTGTGCCTTTTCCTGGCTGCTAAAGAGTATTGTTCAGAGTTCATCAAAATCATAACTTCAGATTCCTACCAGGAAGAATACTATCTGCAAAACATTCACGTATGAATCACAGTTTTATAATGAATATTCCAGATAATGTTTTCCCTGAAAAAGAAATCTTGTTTTTCAAAAGATGAACATTAAAAATGCCTTCATCTAGTGATGGTCATCTGAACTCAGGGAACCTGACCTTGGCACCCATTCCTGTCCCTCATATATTTCTTAACTTGGGAGCTATAGTGTGGTTTTTGTTAAGATTTTTTGTCTGGGTGATTGAGAATGTCTAAAATAGTGCTTTTGGCAAAGATGAAAATTTTGTGACAAGTGATCATGCAATTTAGTGACTATCCCTTATGGGAAAGCTAAATTGGAAAGTCTTGAGTGTCCCTTTCAACTCTAAGATTCTATAATTTAGTTCCATGTTCAGATATAGAATCGTTAAGGGAGGGGAAAAAACAAACACTGAATAGAAATCAGGAGAGCTGTATTTTTGACTTGGCCTCTAATTAGCCATATGCCCTTGAGCCAATCATTTTACCTTGACTTCTCAGCTCATTTGCTCACAAAGTAAAGGTTCTTTTAGCCCTGGGATACTATCATCCTGTGTGTAATGAACATTTAATAATTGCTGACATTTGTGGAGCAATTTCTACTTTGCAGAAATTGTTTTAAGTACCTGACATAACCCATTTGATCTTTATAATGACTTCCTGGGGCAGGAACTGTAATTTTCCCCTATTTTCAAGGAGGAACACTAAGACAGAAAAATGTTAGTCAACCTTTCCAAGGTCACATAGCCAATAGGGTAGAGCCAGGATTTGAACTCAGGCAGTCTAGCTTCAGAGCTCATACTCTTAAGTACAGTGTCATACTACCTCATGTAGCCTTCTAAGTAGTCCATTAAAAAGCCTGGTTTCACTCATAGTAGAGGTATCAATGCCATGATATTACTATATTACTTATTTAAATAATATTTGTTTAGGATATACAATTAAACAAATTTATTAAGCAACTTCTGTATGTCTGGCACACTTCAAGGTTGTCAGGGAATAAAAACTTATGTTCATGCTTTCAGAGGTATAGTTGATGAAACAAGGAGCACGTATTTGAGATAACCAGAGACTATTAGGAAGTATCAATTTGTCAAGAAGACAGTAAGTCCAATAAGATTTTAGACAAAGGCCTTAATGTACTGAAATGCTTGTCAACATCCTAATGAAAAAGCAAGATGCTAGCTGACCTTGAAGGGTGAGTGTGTTGAGTTAGAGACTGGCACAGAAGGCATTCCATGATGGCTAAGCTACTTAAGCGAAGGTATAGAAATAGGAATGACTATGGCAAGGAGTCAAGATGAGTAAATGAACACTGGATTTCATAGTAAGCTGGACACCAATCAAGAAGAGTGTTGATTGACTAACTTGAGAACCAGAATTGGAAGAGATGGGAATATGTAATTTTCAGAGAGTAAAAGCTTAAATGTGGTATTAATGGATTCACACAGTCAGGGATGGGAGGTAGAATGCTGTTGTTACACGGACACCATAGGAGGAAGCCTTATGAGCCCACAAACTGTAACAAATGAAGCAAAAATGTGGTGTAAAGTGAAATGAGGAAATGCTGCTGAATATCATTATAAAAAGATCACTTGGCCCCCTTGCACTAAGCATTTTTCATAGAGGAGATTGTTAGAAATCAAATTGCAAGAGATTACTGAAGAAACAGGTATAAATAGCAAGGTTAGGTATAAGAACATGAGGAATAGGACAGGTAAAAGAAGGAGAGAAATGGGACAAGAGTGGAAGATGCAAGATAAAGTTTTTGAAAGAGATGACAGAGTGAATCTACCTACATATGAAGACAAAATTGGCCATTAGTGAGTAAAAGCCTGAAAATGGTGAGAAGGACAGATGAGATCCTAAGAATCGCCCTAAGAGTTGAGAGGCTAAGATTCTGAGCTGGCATTGAAAACGAGAGACATGCTTTCTCTCTGACATTGGAGGAAGTTTCAAAGGGCATGTGGGATGCTGAATTAGCTCAAATCAGTTACTTTCAAAGTTCCCTGTTATATTAGGAAACAAATCAGAAAGAGCCTAAGAGAAAGAGATTGAAGTTTACAAAAGAGCAAACAATTTAGAGAATATACCAGGGAGTCAGTAAAAAGTGAGTGGAAACCTTGTGGACAGTAGTAAAGGTCAAATACAAATTAGTAGGAGGGAGATAAATTGAATGAGAGCCATGGGCAGGCTAATAATTAGGTGCCTCTTCAAACAGATATTCTTTAAATATTCATTCCAGTTTTTTAAAATGGAAATGAAGTTGGCCCCAGAATGAAACAGGATCAATTTACATTTTATCAATTATGTTAGAAGTTTTATCTGAAGACCTGAGTTTTAGTGCCACTAAAACCAGTTGGTCCTGAGGACAATGGAGAGAAGGATGGGCCCCCTAAGTGTTGCCCTAGCGATTGAAAAAGGAGGGTCTCTATAGCTTCAGCATGACAGGGGCTTAGCTGTCCTGAAGCTTAGCTAAGTTTGTACAGTTGTGTGGCTTCCTCCACAGGTACTTTCTTTTCCAGAAGCATAAATAGCCAAGTTCATTTATTCATTTGGTAACTATGTCAAAGCTATCAAGCAGTGATACATACTGAAATGGATTCATTTTGCTCCACCAGCATAGTGAAGCTGCTGTCTTTTGTATTAAAAAGAATTAAATGAAACAAAAATGATAATATCATCATCTGACATGGTGCTCGATTTCTGTTGAGGAAATAGGCCAATGCACTTAAAAAGTGAGGATGGCAAAGGGCACTCAATGGAAATAAGGTTTCTACACCTCACTCAAAGTGGTAAAACATAACATACCAGAAGACTGTGATAAGTTATATGTGCATATTGTAAT